GGAGGGAAACGAGCTGGAGAAGAGTCGACGGGAGGAAACACATGTCCGTAGACTTGCCGAGGAGGAGGCGGCGGCGACTGAGGGGGCACCGATGGGCGGTCACGAGAAGGAAGGCCGAGGAGGCAAAGAGCGGACACCGGCGTCGACTACGACGACTGCTGCCCGACGCCAACACCTGAACCTCCAGCAGGACCACGGCTCCCTCCGTTAAGCCCCATGCCAGCACCCCAAAAACGGGAGCCCGCTCCAGTACCCGCTCCGGCACGCTCCCCAACACCCACAGAACGCACAAACCCCAGCGGCTGTGACGACGGCGGCTGCGGCTGCGGCGGCGACGGCAGCTGCGGCTGTGACAGCAACGGCAGCGACAGGGGAGGAGAGACCGAGGCGGGGACAAGCGGGGGAAGGGACTCCGCCGAGCCGCGAGAGTTAGCAGACCCCTCGGCAGGGACAACCAACAGGAGGGGGGTGACGTGAGACACACCAGACGGGGCAGGGCAGGGAGGGGGGGGAACAGGGGCGACCAGGAGAGGGGGGGGAACAAGAAACTGGGGGGGGGTGACCAGGGGACCACGGTGGGGAAAGCGGTGGCAGAAGGAGATGGACTTGTCAAAAGTGATGTCGCTAGAGTGAAAGAAACGGTGAGACGGCGGGTGGTAGAGGTGCCAGTCAGACGAGTCGAGGGGGAAACCTAGAAAGACACAGGGTACGGTACGGGCAGAGAGCTTGTCCGTGCCAGAGGCACGAACGTGAGCAAGGCAGCCCAAGACGTGGAACGCAGATGCGTCACCAGGAGACCCGGTCCAGAAGAGCTGGTGGGCGGCGTAGCGAACAACGAATGGCCACAGAAAATGGGGTGTACCGGCATGGATCATGGAGGTACGAGCCACCTCCATGACCAAGCCGATGCGTTGCTCAGCGACCCCATTCTGCTGCGGGGAGTCCGGCAGGGTGTACGTCTAGGTGATGCCCTCCGCACGACAGAAGCGATTAAGGCAGCCAGAGGCGAGCTCGCCACCACGGTCGGAGTGAAGACGCAATACAGAGAGACCTTGGTGCACACGTGCAGAGACAAGCCACGGGATAAGAACGTCGGGCAAGTCAGCCTTCCGCTCCAAGGGAAACATGGTGGTGTAGCGAATATAGTCCTCGACAAGTACTAGGAAATAACGCTCACGGCGTGGCCCATGGACGGGGGCGGGGCCCCAGATGTCCATGTGCAGGGACTGTAACGGTCCGTTGGTGGGGGGGAACGAGGAGTGAGGGGTACGGCGGAGCCGGCCCTCAGCGCAGGGGGTGCACGGAGGCGCTACCGAAGAGGGGAGTGCAGGGAACGACGCAGGGAGACCTAAGACAAAACCGTGCTGAGACATGTGATGGAGACATGTGAGGGCGGGGTGACCTAGGCGATGGTGCCACAGAAGCGACGGGTGAGTAAGCGTCCGACATGAGCAAGCTGCAGCAACCTTGGTAGACGCTGCCACCTGGAGGGGAGTCCCAATAGATGGGGACACGGTGTCCAGCGTGAACATGCGAGACAATGGGTTCTGGGGGAACGTGGTGAGGGGGGCATCAATGACGGCCTCGGTACAGACAGCGTACCTCTCATGACCAGGGAACGTAGTGGTGACACCAAGGTCCTGAAGACAGCCGACAACAACTAGATTCCGAGAGAACGAGGGGATGTGCAGGCCTTTAAGAGAGCCCGACGGAACTGTCGGACAGGTGAGAGTGGTTGAATTACGGGCGACTACCGGACCTGAGGAAGGGTCTGCAAGGGTAATTGCGGCAGGGACGGCAAGCAGCGAAAGCGTAGTGTGGTCCCGAAAGAAAAACCGAGACGCGCCAGAGTCGAGAGTGAAGGAGAGTGCGGCAGTGGCGGCCGGGGGTGGAGGAGCTAGGGTGGAGCCAAGGCTAAACAAAGCAAAGGGTCCTATGCCTGATGCAGCAGAGGAGCCTAAACTAGGCACACTGGACACAACACGGGGTAATAGGAACCAGTCACACTAGAGTCATCGACATACAGCACATACAATGGAGAGCTATTCTCATCCATTTCCATATCAAAGATCCTAACACCACGGCGGAGCAGACTGTGCCAGTCGGGAGGTCCGGTGCGGGGCCGAAGCGGAGACGAAACATGTCGTCCAGGCGAATGAAACAACGAGTAGGGGTATGACCGGTCTTACTGCACACGAGGCCGCTACGAGGTCTGGAGCTGGTACTGGCAGCGCCCGTCACTCGCACCACCCCCCGACGACAAGCTACGCGCACGACCATCGTGACCACAACCACTACCACCAGCGCCAGGCCACCCAGGCAGGAAGCGGCCGACCCTCCACTGCGATTACTGCTGCTGCTGCTGCGGCTGGTCGAGCTGTGACGCATGCTGTTGCTCCCGCTGGGGCTGCTGCTCCGAGGCACCAGCCCCAGCCCCCTCGTCGGTACAACCACCAGCGGATGAACCACCTCCACCATCACCTCCAACCCCTCCTCCACTACCACCGCCTCGCTCAGCCTTGGGGCGGCGGGCCTTACCATAACGGGACTGTGCTGCGGTCACCGCGGCAGTGGTCTCAGCAGAAGGGGCTGTCTCAGCGACAGCCACAGAACCGTCACAGTAAGTGCACTGAGCGGGAGCACAACCCTGAAAGATAGGGACCGGCATAGTACCGCTAGACTGGGCGATAGAGCGCTGACGGGTCTCTACGGCAGACAGGGTGTCGACAAAGTTAGAGAGGGGGAGGTCAGTGGGGTGCAGATTAAGAAAGTGGTCGTGGGCAGTGGCAAGGCGGTCGGGGAGGCGGGTGGCAAGCAGGTAAAGGGTAGAGCAGATAGGGGGCTGGAACACACAAAGCTGGGCCTCAGTGCAGGCAGCGTGCCAGCTAGCGTCAAGCGTGCGCAGGTGCGTGGCTAGGTCAGTGACAGTGGGGAAAGACGCAAGATTAGGGAAGAGCATGGGAAGGGTTAGGCGGCCGGCAGAGGCAGAGGACGGGGTGGAATGACGCTCGACAACAACCTCTAGGAACTCCTGCGTAGTCCTGACCGACTTAATGCGGGTGCGCTCAGACAGGGGGAGGGCATGGCTAATCACGAGTTGAGCGATAGCGTCACGTGACAGCCAGACAGCACGGGCAAGGGCAGCAGCAGCAGGGGACTCACTGTCAGCAGACGTGGAGTCAGCGAGGAGAGCATAAGAGGGGTCAGGGCAGGGGAGCGTACCGTCAATGTGGACGGCCAGGGAGTGGCCGTCCTGCCGCTGACCAGTGAGGTGACGGCGGAGGTCGACGAGCCATGAGTCGAACTCAACCGGTTGACCCTCCGCGTCAATGCGCAGCACCGAGTCCGCCATGAAGGTCGTTGCAGCCGCGATCAGGCGGTGAAGGAGTGACGACGAGCAGTGGGGAGGAGTGTTGTACGGTGCAACGCGGTGGTGTGCGGTGGGGCGTCGTGCAGTGCAGTGCCACACGATGCAAAGCGGTGCAGTAAGGTGGGGCGCGGTGCAGTGAGGTGGGGCGCGATGCAGTGTGGTGCTGAGCGGTGCAGTACGGTGGGGCGCGGTGCAAGATGGTGGAGGGGGCCGGTGAAGCGGGCGGGGATCGGGAAACACGGCGGCAGAGCCGCTGGGAGACGGTGCTGCTGGGGGGCCGGGCGACGGGGCCGCGGGGCGGCTGGGCGACGAGGCTGCGGAGCCGCGGGGCGACGGGTCGCGGGGCGGCTGGGCGACGGGGCCGCGGGGCTGCTGGGCGATGGGGCTGCGGGGCGGCTGGGCGACGAGGCCGCGGAGCAGCGGGGCGACAGGTCGCGGGGCGGCTGGGCGACGTGGCCGCGGAGCAGCGGGGCGACGGGGCCGCAGGGCGGCTGGGCTACGGGGCCACGGAGCGGCTACGCGACGGGGCGGCAGGGCGGCTACGCTAGGGGCGACGCGTCCGCGGGGCCAGCAGGGCGTCTAGGCGCTGGGCGACGAAACGACAGGGCCAAGTGCAGCTGGGCACTAGGTGGCAGCGCCGCGGGCCCAGCGGGACGGCTAGGCGTTAGGAGGCGGGGCAACAGGGCCGCAGGCGCCTAGGCGCTAGGTGACGGGGCCGCGGGGCTAGCGGGGCGGCTAGGCGCTGGGTGACGGGGCGGGCTAGGACCTAAGGCGGAAGCGCGGGTGGGCGGGGGGGACCTAACCTACTCATGATACCATCTCAGAGTTATATCGTATCCTGAAGTTGGGCCGATGAGCAAAGTTTTCCCATGCGGCTCGAAATGTCTAAAATTGGGAATGAAATGTTGGGCTGTGCGCTTCGGGTTTTGCAGAAACCAAAAGTTTCGCCCATGTGCCCTGCGACGTGGGCGCACGACCAACGCGATCAACACGTCCGGCGCAAATTGGTACTGTGGATGAAAGCGCCTCGTCTGGACGTGAGCCACGTTTTCAAAACAGACGGCCCAGTGGCACGGTTACCGCATCAGCTGCCCGTAACAACACACAAACAAACAAGGCGTTTGGCAGGTTTTTTGGCGGATTTTTTTGTACCAATGTTGTTGCAAAGTCGACCGTCAGGTTGTCGCGCATCCGGTACATTCCTCTGTTCGCCTATGGGTCGTAGAACGTTGTGCGCGCTTCCCAGTTGGCCGCGAAATTTTGGAGATCGCATTTTCGCGGCTTGTTTTCGCAGGCATACTCGCGAGCGTTTCGCAGCAAGGTTCGGTCGGTATCCACCACGGTTTCCCAAGTCGCATGGGAAAACTTGGGGCCGATGGGAAAACTTGCTCGTCGGCCCAACTTCAGGAAACGATCTTAGAAGTGTTGACTAGAATGAGAGTATACAAGGGTATATAGCTAGTGGGTTGTACTCTCTATGGAAAGCCCCTACGTAGTCTACTAAACATACACAAATATATTCGACACCTATATCTTGCTTCGTCATTCCATTGTACGCATTCGGTAGTTCGACATTCGTTATTAATTTCCGCGCCTGTTCATTCATAACGCGAAACTTTTCGGCAGGTTCTCCCGAGATTTTATAGAACTTTCGTTCCCCGCAATTGGCGGAGCCCACTTTGCAGCCTGGAATTTGGAACACCAACAAACATGTTTCACAGCCTACTATTTTCTGACACCCACAGGATTCCTCCATCCCGTGTTCAATTTCGCAGGGCTTGCATCATGTAGCTCATGGATTCCTTTTATCTCGATAATACCGTCACCGTCATTGCGAAGGATGGCTGACTAAAACTTTCTCTGATTTCCAGAGGCGACTCCTAGGACGTCAGTTCGATTTGAGCGTTACGAGTCGGTTTCGAAACGGCATGCTCGCTTTTTGAGTCGAATCAGGTTCAACTCGAGACCGCGGTCGACCCGTTACAAGCGTGATCAGCCCTTCCGTCCCTGCGTTTCGCTCGTTCTCTTGCCACGTCACGCTCTCCTGGCGGCGCTGCGATGGAGTGCGTGGTTCAAGGGATTATCGAGAGTAAGGTGAGGGAGTATACGTGATGTGCTCTTCTGGCGCTGGGATGGAGTGTGTGGTTCAAGGAATCATCGATAGTAAGGTGAGGGAGTAGGCGTGGCAGCACGGGTCCAGAGGTGGGGAAGTGTGTGCTTTCCTGGTGGCGCTGCGATGGAGTGCGTGGTTCACAGAATCATTGAAACTAAGGTGCGTGATTCAAGAGATTATCGAGAGTAAGGTGAGGAAGTGTGCGTGGCAGCAAGGGTCCAGAGGTGGGGAAGTGTGTGCTCTTCTGTCGCTGGGATGTAGTGCGTGGTTTAAGGAATTATCGAGAGTAAGGTCGGTTGTGGGTAGGAGGGGGAGGGAGGGAGGAGGCGTGACAGTAACGGGACAGAGGTGGGGAATTGAATCGCGCATGAAGTGTTTTGAGATGTCTCAAAACCAGTCTATTCTATTGTACCACGGAGGGGGAGGGAGGAGGCGTGACAGTATCGGGGCAGAGGTGGGGAGATTAATACTTTTTTAAGGTCAAGTGGTGAGGCAGGCATCTGTGGTCGTGCGTCTTTTCACTCTGGAAGGGTCAGTGGGTAACAGCAGAAGGGATCCCATCCCATCCTCTCTCCCTGCCAACCCCTCTTCTTTCCTTCCATCTCCCCACCCCATCAGCATGTGCGTGCACTGGTGGAGCTTATAGAGGGGATGGGATGCGCCAGGGTGGAAAAGCTCCTCTTCTTCTCAATCCCTTCCTCTCGCTCCCTCCCTCCATCCTCCTCCTCCCCACCCCCCAAACCCCCCCTTCCCCACAACACACCCCACCAGCATGTGCGTGCACTGGTGGAGCTTATAGAGGGGATGACAGGCGCCAGAGAAGAGAAGCTGGATCTACACCAGTTAGTGTACAGAAATGCGCCGAATATAGGTACTTTGGAGAAAAAAAACTAGCCCGCTGTTCTTCCCGATAGCCTCCTGTTAAGCCTTGGGGCTAATTGGTGTTATTGCATTCTCAAAACGGCCTTTTTTTTCTTTTTGTTTTGGCTCAGGAGCTATACCATGTGAGGTACGGCTGGAATGCCCTCTCAACTGCAACCCACCCATATGGTAAGTGCGTGCTGCCATGCCTTACTCTGTACGAAAGAGCCATGCCATGCCATACCATGCCATGCCATCCATGTCCATACCATTCCATGCCATACCATGCCATGCCATGCCATGCCATCCCATACCATGCCATGCCATACCATGTCATGCCATGCCATCCATTACCATGCCATGCCATACCATGCCATGCCATGCCATCCCATACCATGCCATGCCATGCCATGCCATACCATGCCATGCCATGCCATGCCATCCCATACCATACCATACCATGCCGTGCCATACCATGCCATGCCATGCCATCCCATACCATGCCATGCCATGCCATGCCATACCATGCCATGCCATGCCATGCCATCCCATACCATGCCATACCATACCATGCCGTGCCATACCATACCATGCCATGCCATGACCATACCCTCGCCGGGACCGTAGTGCACGTGGGGGGAGCGTTGAGGGGGGCAGGGCTCGATCAGCTACCAGCCATGGTGCGCAGCTTAGGGAAAGTGCGAGCATCCTCGTCTGCCCCTTCTCTGCCTCCCTCCCCCATCCGAACGCTCTACTAAGACCATAGTGCATGCTGGGGGGGCAGGCAGGGGCGGATCAGCTGCCAGCAGTGGTGCGGACCATTATGGGAGTGAGGGCATCCCCATCTGCCCCGTCTGCCCCTTCTTCCTTCGCTCTCCCCATCCCATCCCTTCCCTTCCCTTCTTCTTCCCGCATCCCAACCCCCATACCAGGACCATAGTGCATGTGGTTGGGGCGATGAGGGGAGCAGGAGCAGATCAGCTGCCAGCCATAATGCGGAGCATAGTGAGAGTGCGAGCATCACCGTCTCTCCCTCCTCTTCCTCCCCCCCTTCCCCCTCCCTCCCCTCCTGCCAGGACCATAGTGCATGTAGGAGGGGCGATGAGGGGGGCAGGGGCAGATCAGCTGCCAGCAGTGGTAGTGAGAGTGAGAGCACGCCTTTCACTGCACCATTCGGCACCACCCCACTGCTCCTCCCCCTCGTCCCCCATACACCAGGACCATTGTGCACGTCGGGGGTGCGATGAGGGGAGCAGGGGCGGATCAGCTGCCAGCAGTGGTGCGCAGCATAGTGAGAGTGAGGGCATCCCCGTCTGTGGTACACCTGGTACCCGCTATAGGCCTCCGACTCGACCATGAGGTACTAACTGCACTGTGCTCGCTGTACCAAAGTTTTATTTTCTATAGTTCGCTGCGTAGTGTGCGTGCGCAAGGATCGCCGTCTGTGGTGCAACTTGTACTCGCTATAGGCCTTGTACTCACTGAACAGTAAACAGCTCGTTGGGCTGTTATGGAAGTGCTGTACTGGGGTTTGCTGTTCTGTGGTATATAGTGTACTGAACTGTATAAGATTCTGTATGCTGCATGTAGCCTTTTGGTTCTCCCCTTGTCTCCTGCACCAACCATCCCTTTCACCTCAATCGCCATGGTTCCGCATTCGACTTCACCCATCGCTCCCACGCCATGAGGCTCGAGGACTTTGCCCCCCTGCGCCTGCTACTCTCCTCTCTATTCCACTTCCCCCCCCTTGTCACCCCCCTGCCGCTCTAGTGGAGTTATTTTTTAGAATTAAAAAAATGCCTCCCTATTCCACTTCCCCCTCCTTGTCACCCCCCTGCAGCTCATTCGCAGAGGCTCCGCATTCGATTTCGCCCATCACTCCTGTGCCATGAGGCTCGAGGCCTTTGCCCCCCTGCGCCTGCCGCAGCAGGCACCAGTGACTCAATTCCCCCACCCGCCCCCCAAACCCCCCCCCCTTATCACTTTTTTGCAGCTCATTCGCCGCGGCTCTGCATTCGATTTCGCCCATCGCTCCAACGCCATGAGTGTCCGAGGCCTTTGCCCCCCTGCGCCTGCCAGTCTCCTCCCTTGGCACCCCCCTGCAGCCCTAGTGGAGTCGTTTTTTTGAATTCTAAAAAATGCCTCCCTATTCCACTCCCCCCCCCCCCCCCCCCCCCCTTGTCACCCCCCTGCAGCTCATTCGCAGAGGCTCCGCATTCGACTTCGCCCATCGCTCCTATGCGATGCGCCTAGAAGCCTTTGCTCCCCTGCGCCTGCCGCGGCAGCATGCAGTGAGCGACGCACAGCCGCTGCCCAATCTGGCCGGGCTGCATGTGGTGGAGGTCACAGCTGCCGCTGCTGCTGAGACATATTCTGAGACTGCTGCTGCTCTCAGCTCCTTTGCTGACCTCATCTCCCCGTGAGTGATGCTTGCATGGGGCACCTCCCCTTTGATTAGTAAGGGAGGCACAGCCCCCCTTACGGCCCTCATCTCACCGTGAGTGATGCTTGGTCATGTGTGTCACAGCCCTCTTGATAAGTGACGGACAGCCAGCCGCTGCCCAATCTGGCCGGGTTGCATGTGGTGGAGGTGACAGCTGCTGCAGCTGCTGAGACCTACTCTGAGACTGCTGCTGCCCTCAGCTCATTTGCATGAGGTGCTGCAAAAGTACAGATTAGATGTTTGCTTTTGAGTCGACTCAAAAGCAAAAGCAGAGATTGGAGGCTCACCGATACATATCTTAGCAAGGTACTTTTGAGTGCTCTAAATAATCAGCTCTGCATGTCTTTGCAATGTGACTTCACCTATGAACTTGTTGATAGGTGCCTGCACTGCTCCCGTCAGTTTGTGGCTTACTTTATTATCCTCACCTGTCCTTCTTCCCCTTCTTTCCATCCTCCCCCTACTCCCCCTTCCCCCACCTCCCAATTCCCCCCCACCTCCCCTTCCTCTTTCCCTTCCCCCCCCCTCGATACCACAGTTTGGTTCGTCTCTCCAAGCCGTCTATCTCTGCTGGGCTGTCACCCGCAGCTGCGTCAACTGCTGCTGCCGTTTGCCCTGCCTAGTGTACTGTGCCATAAGATAAGAGCTGCTACTGTACTGTGCCTATCAAAGTGTGGCGCTCAACGGTCTTTGTTCACTTGCCATTCAAGCCGTCCATCTCTGCTGTTCTGTCACCCGCAGTTGCGTGCTGCCGTTTGGCCTGCCTAGTGCCAAGCCCCGTGTTCGTTGCTGGGCGTGTGCACATTTTCAACCTTCATCATTCGCCCGCATCTTGATGTTAACAAATTCCTTGGAAGCCACGTCTAGACTTTCGCATGCCAATAGAGTGTACGATGCAGTGCACATGTTTGTCCTCGAGGTTTTTTTCTTCATAGCGAGGTACTAATAAAATTTGGGGATTGGGACGTGACTTTTTGTATAGAAAGCTGCACTGCGGTGGATGTATCTAACTGTGACAGTACCTTTTACTCTAGGGTACTAGTGCTATGCAATCTACCATGTCTTCTTTGTGTGGTGTGAAATGGTATCTCATTCGTTCAGAGGATAAACAAACCAAGCAAAAAGTAAATTAGCTCAAGTCTACCGTACAAAATTTCAGGGAGAAATTCAAGCTAGCACACTGCATTGTCCCTTGTGTAATTACAAGTAGTAGTCACCCTGCTTGGAGGTGGCCTTCAAATCCTTGAGCTTCCTTAGAATCTGGGTGTAGTACTCCTGCAAATACTGCTCCAGGGTGGTGGTGTCCTTGGGGTCCAACCCCAGCATCTTGTAGGTTTCGGTCATAGGGGCAGAGAAGACTGCATTGCTGGTGAGGACCTGGTAGGGAGACAGCAAACGAAATGGAAGGCAGGGAGAGGGAAGGGGAGTGGGAAGCAGAGAGGGACGGGGAGAGGGAAGGTGAGGATCTGGGTGTAGTACTCCTGCAGGTCTTGCTCCATGGTGGTGGTGTCCTTGGGATCCTGGAGTCGACAGTAATAAGTCGAGTTTTGAGTCGACTCTAAGAGACTTCTTGCACTTCGTGATGGTGTACTTGGGATCCAGCCCCAGCATCTTGTTGGTCTCTGTCATAGGGGCAGAGAAGACAGCGTTGCTCGTCAGCACCTGAAAGGGTTGGGATAGGGGAAGGGAGATGGCGAGAGGGAGACGGGGTGAGGAGGTAGCAGCAAGCAGCTTGAAGGTTTTGGTCACTGGGGCAGAGAAGACAGTGCTGCTGCTGGTCCGCACCTGATTGTCAGAATAGGTTGGGATGGGATGCAGCAGACAAGGGCATAATGTGAGGGGAGAGAGGTACCGGTATTTGTGGCAATTTAAGCATGCGTCCATTGCAGGTAAGGCAACCAGGGGTAGAAGATGCAAGTTGCTACATCGGGGGCAGGGCACACATCAGCTTACCTCAGAGAATGCCAGCCTGTCTGCCACGTCAGACGACCACTGGAACAGCTGCATGAACTTCCGGGTGAGCTTCAGCACCCCCACCGGCACCGTTGTCACCTTGGCGTCCTGCCCTGCCAGGCGCTCGCACAGAGCAATGACCTGCATGGGCATCGAACCATGGGAACATGGGATGGATGGGACGAGCTGCATTAGCTTCAGCACCCCTGCCAGCACCATTGTCACCTTGGCTTCCTGCCCAGCCAGGCGCTCGCACAGGGCAATGACCTGCCGAGGGAACGGAGGGGATCGAAACCATGGGAGCATGGGATGAAGTGGGATGAGGTGCATCAGCTTCAGCACTCCCACCAGCACCGTCATCACCTTGGCGTCCTACCCTGCCAGGCACTCGCACAGAGAAATGACCTGCAAGCAGGGGAGCGGGAAGGGAGAGAGAGAGAGGAGAAAGCTCAACGCCGCAGCGCAGGCTGAGAACCCCCCGGTTGAATCACAGGTCGATGGCCTCTCCGTAGGGGATTGTAAAACCATCCTGGAGCCCTTGGTGGAGCTCCCCTAGGCTAGTTGTACCATTGCCACTGCCTGCTTGACTGTACTTACCCATGCCTTCCATGCACTATGTATCTCATCTCTCTATCAATATAAGGACCACTTGAGAGAGGAGAAAGGGGATGGGAGTGAGCAGTGTGCAGCCACTAGCATCAGTTCTGGCTCCTCAGTAGCCCAGCAGCCCAGCTCAGATTTTCAGCATGCCTAAAACTGACTCTTACAGCAGTTGACCACTTCGTTGTGTTTCTGAGTCGACTCCAAAACCAGTGTTCTTTGAGACGTCTCAAAACTGACTCCTCCAGAAGCTCACATTGCTTGCGGCTTAGAGCCAACTCCAAAACTAGCCTTTGCCTTTCCCCCCCCCCCACGCTCTGTGTGAGGAAACACAGGATGGTTTTGAAGTGCTCAGTGCTCACCTCTTGGGTGTTCCACGCTCTGGGCCCTGCAAGAGTGATGGTCTTGCGAGGGGTCATCTGTGAGTCTTATTTACGAAGACAACCCCCCAGCATGTCTCACCTCTTGGGTGGTCCACGCCCTGGGCCCAGCGAGCGTGATAGTCTTGCGGTAGGTCTTCTCGTTCCTGAGAGCAGCCATGGCCATGCGAGCCACGTCCTGCGAGTCCATGTACGCAACGCGAGTCGTGGCGTCCGTGCCCCACACTGACTGCTCCTCCAAAATCGGCACTGCGTACTGGCCAATCAACGCCTGTTTGAAGGTTGATAGATAGAGAGGCGAGGGAAGGGGAAACGGGGGAAGGGGGGGGGTGGGGGGGAGGGGGTAGGGAGAGAGAGGACATGATGAGTTCCGAGTTCGAGTGTGCGATGGGAGTGGTGGCACCCAGGCTGCTGATCTACCAAGGGCGCTAGGTACTGACCGTTTAGTGCTTACGAGGACACAGACAGCGTGGGGGGTGATGTGGGTCCTGGTGAGACAGTAACGGAATTCTAGCGAACCGCCACTGTACATAGGAGCAAGTCACGCAGCCACAGCGAGAGACTTGCCCACAAGGAATTGCACAGGCGTATGGTGGTGTAGCAGCTACGCACGGTCTCCACATGCTATATTCTTCTGGAGGCGCCAAAAAACTGAACAGTCATGCAGGCACAGCACGAGGCCTACCTGCATGAAGCCGCAGAGGCGGATGGTGGTGTAGTTGAGCGTGCTCTGCTCCAGGAGCTTCTCCGTGCACTTCTTGATCTCCATCAGCGGCACCTGCAGTGGGGACAGTCCACGGAGGTAAGCAACAATACATGGGCCAAAAAACGAGTTAGGTTGCTCTCTCTAGTGCGCGCTGCGTTGCTCCAAAACTTTCTCCATGCACTTCTTAATCTCCAGAAGCTTCTCCATGCGCACGCACTTCGGTACGCTGCTTGAGGGGGAACGGTAGGGGCTGGGTGCACAGCTGTTTACCTCGGGGCGCTGCTCGGACTCGTGGTTGAAGAAGAGGTACCGCTGCACGCCCATGGCCTGCGCCGACTGGATGAGAGCCACCTTGCGGGCATGTGCATGTACCTCAAGGTGCTGCTCGCAGTGGGAGCCGCAGAAGGGATGGGGAATCGGGTACCGGAGTGGGGTGCACCAGTGCGTACCTCAGGGTGCTGCTCGCTCTCGTGGATGGAGAAGAAGAGGTACCGCTGCACGCCCATGGCCTGCGCCGACTGGATCAGAGCCACCTTGCCGTCCCAGTCCACCGTGCGAATCGGCTCCTCGGGACGCCCGGTCGCGCAGTCGATCACGGTGTGGACTCCCACTAGGGCTGCTGGGAGGGTCTCTGGCTTGGTTAGGTCGCCCTGTTGGGGAAAGGGTTGGACAGGCAATGACAGAGGAGCAACAGTTGAGTCCACCGTGCGAATCGGCTCCTCGGGACGCCCCGTAGCACAGTCGATTACGGTGTGCACGCCGACTAGAGCCGCCGGAAGGGTTTCCGACTCGGTAAGGTCGTCCTGTTGGGGGGAATGGGTGAAATGGAAAGAAAGACGGAGCACAGAATTGAGTCCACCGTGCGAATTGGCTCCTCGGGACGCCTGGTAGCATAGTCGATCACAGTGTGAGCACCGATTAAAGCCGCAGGGAGGGTCTCAGGCTTGGTCAGGTCGCCCAGGTGTGGGGAATGGGCGAAGTGGAAACGAAAGCGCAGCGCAGAATTGAGCCCACCGTGCGAATCGGCTCCTCGAGACTGCCGATAGCACAGTCAAACACAGTGTGAATACCGACTAAAGCCGCAGGGAGGGTCTCGGGTTTGGTTAGGTCGTCCTGAGGAGAGGGAACGAGCGAGGCAGGAGGGACGGTTGAGTCCGCTGTGCGGCTCTGAGGCGCCTCAGAAACAGACTCCTCACGCTTGGTTAGGCTGTCCTGCGAAGGGGGAATGAATGAGGCAGGGGGGGCGGTTGAGTCCGGTGTGCGGCTTTGGTTTCGACTTGGAGCTACTAACATGGACGTTAGATTTTGAGTAGGGGAGAAACAGTAACTTCGTTGACGTTGGCTGAAACGCCCTCACATTGACGACAATAAAACTCACATTGACGACAGTAGAACTCACATTGACGACAGTAGAACTCACATTGACGACAATAGAACTCACATTGACGACAATAGAACTCACATTGACGACAATAGAACTCACATTGACGACAATAGAACTCACATTGACGACAATAGAACCCACATTGACGACAATAGAACTCCCCGCGGGCTGCGGACGAGGCCGCAGAAAAATCAGACGACTAGACTCTGGTTCCTGACAGGGAATGCAATTAACTCACTCAAATCCCATAGGAAATTTACGGGTTGTGGTCGAGGCCGCACAAACAACTAGTGCACCGACGAGAAATACAGTAGCACTCCAGTAGCACCCCAGTCTCGCAGGAAATCGACGGGTTGCGTTCGAGGCCGCACGAGGCAGCGAACAATTGAAGTCTAGTCCCCGAAAGGGAATGCGGCATAACTCACTTGGACGACAGTAGCTCTCCCCAGTCACGGAGGAGGTCCGCAGGCTGTGGTCGAGACAGCAGAAGCAATCAGCTGACTAGAATCTGGATACCGACAAACAAGCAAACGACAATAATATACTCACTTGGACGACAGTAGCACCCCAGTCACGGAGAAAGTCCGCAGGCTGTGGTCGGGGCCGCACGAGGCAGCGAACATCGAAGCCGTCGTCCAGGAGCTTGCGAACGATCTGACGGCCCAGAGTTCCCGTCGCTCCCACTACAAGAACACTCGTGGTACGCACAGGCGTCCCTTGAAACGCGGTCACCGCAGCAGCGGAGGCCGCGGTTACTGGAGGAATGGCTGAAGCGGAGACGGAAACGACATTTGTGCGGGGAACAGCCGTGGCGTTTAGACTGAGAGAGTCGGCGGAGGAGAGGGAGATGGCCTGATTCACAAGGTCTCGCGAAGCCAGGCTTCGCAGGGTAATATTCTTCGCGGAGCTTCGCAGCTCGCTTCCCAGCGACGCGGATTTCAGCTGGCAAAACGAAGAGGCAGACATTGAGACGGCCATGGCGTAAAAACTGATGTCTGCTAAGTGGTTGAGCTTTCAGACAGACGAGAGCTCAGAGCCAGCGGCAAGAATGATTACTTCGACCTTGGATGAAACAGGATAACTAGCAATCACAAGCCGTTGTGAATGTAACTCCGCAAATAAGAATGTGCCTGCAGATGAAAGTGTGTTAGTTGCTCGTGAGAGTCGGGCAAATTAGGCAGAAAACAGTCAGCCAGGATGAAATCTATGGCACGTGAAACTAGCATGCGAGGCCCCGAACGACTAATGAGTTTTAGCTAAGAGCAAAAAGTTCCCTGATTTGTCACGGGGAATGTTGGCTTTGAACATTGAAGTGGAACTTCCAAGGCTCGGACTGTAGTTGATCGGACGGCCAGTGTGTCATAAGCGTTTGTTCCATAAGATCCCATCGCGCGAAGGACGACCAGAAACAACGCCAAGCAAGGGAGAGAACCCTGCAGGTGACACGCTACCCCGACTTACGTGGATAGCGTCGACGCTCGTCTACCTCGATTGGGCACCAAAGGAGATCCTGACGTGGCGTTCGTGAATCCATGGGACGCCACGCTTCCAGATGGGCAACCAATTGCGCTCGCAGGAGCTTCGCACATACTCGTAGTATTAGCCCCGCTACATTACACACGCACGTAAAGCCACTTACCATTACTCTATGTGAAATTTTCAATCACCACTCAGTTGATGAGGTATTTCATATTCACGAAGTGCTTCGTGGTGTAATGCTTCTTAGGGGAAACTATACGCAAACGATTTTTCCCGTGTCACATGATATCACTTGGCCAGGTGCACTAAAGGTGATGAGTGAGCATAGAAAGTGGGATACATACATGGCAAGGATGCTATATAACACAAGTTGCGAATCTCATAATAACCGAATAACTAGAATGAAGGCATACAAGGGAACATATGATTGGGTGTTTCTCTCTCTAAGAGCACAAACCCTTCTAGCCTAAAACTGATACATATACAAAAATGTATAAGTTGACCCACCCCTTAGGTTAGACAAGGGGCAGTGCCTAGCGAGAGACACGCAGCTTAGGGTGGCACTACTAGTCCAACCTCTGAGGCAAGGGTCTAAAGACCAGTCAGCAAGAGTAAAAGCCAAACAAAAGCAACACAAGGCGGCACTACTAGTTTAGCCACTGGAACAAGAGCCACAAGGCCAGTCAATATAATATAATGAGTAGTACACAATCAAGGTCCCAACAAGTGAGGCTAAGTACATCTCTGGCTGGAGTAGCGAAGACCAGGTCGTCTACGTAGAGTAGGATGTAGAACGGCCGAGAGAGGCGGACAACCAATAGGAAGAAAGTCAGAGAGAGGAGGCGGAGAGACAACAAGGGATGACTGAGGAGGTGATAGAAGAAGAGGAGCACGGGACGCGTGAGAACGGAACATAGGGTGAGAACACTGAACCGGGGAGACATGACGAGCACCAGAGGGACGACAAGACCAGAAGTGGGATGAAGGCGTCGGGTCAGGAGACACATGAAGGAGACACAAGAGGAGGACGCGAGGCAAAACGAGCCAGGGAAGAATCTGGCGAAAGGAAACACAGGGCCGTAGACAGACAGTAGAGGCGGCATTGGGGGAGGCGCGGGCGGGCGGTCAAGGGAGGGAAGACCAAGGAGGCGAAAGGTGGACACTGGTGGCGATTGCGGCTGCTGCTGCTGCTCCGCACCCACACCAGAACCTCCAGCCGCACCACTGCGACCTCCAGGACCCACCATGACAGTTCCTTCAGGACGAGCACCCCCAAAACACGAACCCTCTCCAGAACAGGCGGCAGACCCTGAGCTGTAGGGCCCCCGGAGTTAGCGGACTCCTCCGCTGCGGCAACCGAGGGAAGGGGAGTGACGTGAGACACACCAGACGAGGTAGGACAGTGAGCGGAGGCTATCGGGGGAGTGGGGACAAGGAACAGGGGTGGGGTCCCGGGAGACCTCGGTGGGGGAAGCGGGCGTAGAAGGGGACGGGCTCATCAAATGTGACGTCACACGAGTAAAAGAAGTGGTGAGACGGCAGGTCGTAAAAGTGTCAGTCAGACGCGTCAAGGGGGAAGCCAAGGAAGACACAAGGGACGGCACGGGCTGTGAGCTTGTCGGCGCCGGAGGCGCGAAAGTGAGCGAGGCAGCCCTAGACGTGGAGCACAGACGCGTCATCGGGGGACCCAATCCAGAGGAGGTTCCGTGAAACTTGTGAGCATTGGGAGTGTGGTTACATGTTAAGCTGGTGAGCAGCGTAGCGAACAGTGAACGGCCACAAAAAATTGGGTGCACGGGCATGGATCATGGAGGTATGAGCCACCTCTATGACCAAACGGATGTGTTGCTCAACGACCCCATTTTGCTGCGGGAATTCCGGCAGGGTGTACGACTAAGTGATGCCCTTTACACAACAAATTGGCCATGCCGACCGTAGGTGAACTCACCGGCACGGTCGGAGTGGAGGCGAAGCACCGGCAGGCTACATTGGACTCCCGCAGCTATGATTCATCGCTCGCTGGCCCCTTGATCGCCGGCCCCTTGCTCGTCGACCCCTCGTTTGCAGATCTCTAGCTCGCCAACCCCTAGTTTGTCGGCCCCTAGCTCGCTCGCCCCAGTTCCTGCCGTCCCCGGTCCTGCCGGCCCCTGTTCCTGCCGCCCCAGCTCGCCGTGCCGCTGTGCTGCTGAGCCACCGTGTCGCCGTGCTGCAGCGCTCCTGTGCCACCATACCGCCGTGTTGCCATGTCGCCGTCAGCCGCTGCGGCCGTGATGATGGCAGACGCTTTGCACTGCCTGGACGCGGAGGGTCGTGCGGTCGACTTCGAGGCGTGGCTCGCCGAGCTCCGCCGCCAGCTCAGGGGTCAGTGCCAGGACGGCCAGTCCCTGGCCGTTCACGTCGGCGGTAAGCTCTCTTGCCCCGACCCGCCTGCTGCCCTCCCTGATGCCCCCACGCTCGCTGAGCGTGAGACCTTTGCAGCCTTCTGAGCTCGCTCGCTCAGTTTGGGAGTCGTGCGACGCAATTGCTCAGCTTGCTATCAGTCACGCCCTCCTCCTGTCCGAGCGTCCCTACTTTCAAACGATAGAGACTGCGTAGGACTACTTAGATGCTGTCATTGCGCACTATTCCACTCCTTCCTCCTCCTCTGCCAACCGTCTCCTGCTCCTACTGCCTTTTCTTGATCTTGCGTCCTTCCACACTATCGCTGATCTTGTCACTCACCTGCGCGTGCTTGAGACTAGCTACTGCGCAGCTAGCACTGAGACCCAACTCACTGTTCTACCTCCCCCCCTCGGCGCTACCCTAACTTTCTTGCCACGCGCCTTCCTGACCACCTAGCCACTACCTGCGACCATTTCATTGGTCTCCACCCCGCTGACCTCACCCTTTCCGAGTTCGTCGCCACCCTGTCCGCAATAGAGACCAGCCAGCACGCTATCGCTCAGTCTAGCGGTAATGTTGTGGTCCCTATCTTCCGGGGTTGTGCCCCCTCCCAGTGCACTTACTCCGGCGAATCTGTCGCTGTCGCTGAGACAGCCCATGCTGCTGAGTCCGTCGCGGCGGCCTCAGCACAGCCTGGTCCAAGTAGGGGTCGCCGCCTTAAGGGGGGACGTGGCGGAGAGAGGGGTGGCGGGGGTGGCGGCGGTGGCAGGAGGTGGCGTGGGTGCCGGTGGTGCAGACGAGGGGACCGAGGCCGATGCCCGGACGCAGCAGCAGGAACAGCAGCCGCCACAGCAGCAGCAGCAGCAGCAGTGGCAGCAGCTCCGTGGGGACCTCCGCCGCCGTGGTGGTCTGGTATTTTTAGTGGTGGTGGTCGCGGTGGCGGCGTGCCCTGCTCAGCATCAGGTGGCGTCAGTGTGTCTACTGAGTGTTGTCTAGGTTCCCTTGCTGTGTCAGGCGTAGGATCTCCTGTTGTGTTTAGCCTAGGCTCCACGCTAGCGCCCCCGCCGGCTGCCACTACCGCCGCGCTCTCCTTTATGCTCGACTCTGGTGCGTCTGCCTATTTCTTTCGTGACCACACTACGCTCACGCCACTTGCCGCCCCTACCGCTGTAGCACTTGCTGGCCCCTCCTCAGGTACGGTAGTTGCACGTAGCTCCACCACCCTTCCCTGTCCGGCAGTTCCCTCAGGCTCCCTTAGAGGCTTACACATCCCCTCGTTCTCCAGGAACCCAGTAAGTGTCGGCTCTCTTCAAGACCTCAGCATCACCACTACGTTCTCTGGATATGAGCGGTACGCAGCCTATACCGAGGCCGCCACTGGTGTCCCCCTCACCACGTTCCCCCCGGACCCGGCGTCTGGCCTGTTCACGCTCGACACCACGTCCCCCTTGGTGGGAGCGTCCCCCAAGGTGGCCGCGCCTACTCGGGTCGCTTCGGCTTGCTCATGTTGGTTGCTCACTCACCTGTCCCTATTGTGGCACCACCGCCTAGGCCACCTTGCACTCCCACGTCTGTGTCACATGTCCCAGCACGGTCTTGTCTTAGGTCTCCTGCTTCACTCCTTGCCCCCCTCCCTCACCCGCGCCTCCATGCACGCCCTGTGTCGAGGGTCGGCTGCGCCGTGCTCCTCACTCCTCCTCGTTTCCGCCCACCACTGTGACACTCCAAACCCTGCACTAGAATGTTTGAGGCCCAGCCTCCGTCCTCAGGCTGCGTTGTCAGCATTACTTTGTGGTGCACGTCGACAACTAAACGTGCTACACCACGGTGTTTCCCCTAAAGCGGAAGGCCGACGTGCCTGACGTTCTTATCCCGTGGGTCGTAGCTGCGCGAGTCCACCGCAGCCTGCTGGTGCTTCGTCTCCACTCCAAACATGGCGGTGAGTTTGCCTCCAGACGGCTTGGCCAGTTCTATCGTGCGAAGGGCATCACCCAGTCGTACACCTTGCCGCACTCCCTGCAGCAAAATGGGGTCGCTGAGTGACGCATCGGTTTGGTCATAGAGGTGGCTTGTACCTCCATGATCCATGCCCGTGGCTGCACTCCGAGCGCCTGCATGTTTCGCCGACCCTCTTCTGGACCGGGTCCCCCGGTGACGCGTCTGCGTTCCAAGTTTGGGGCTGCCTCGCCCACGTTCGCGCCTCTGGTGTCGACAAGCTCACAGCCCGCACCGTCCCTTGTGTCTTCCCTGGCTTCCCGCTTGACGTGTCTGACTAGCACTTTTAAGACCCGCCGTGTCACCGCTTCTTTCAATCGCGTGACGTCACATTTGATGAGTCTCTCCCCTTCT